TAAGAATATGGATCCTAAATAAAGAAGAAAGTGAAAAACCATAATTAAGTGTAAAGGTTTTTTTTTTTTTTAATGGAGTTTTTGTTTTAGTAATTTTTAAAGTTAGCACACCAAGTGAGTAATGGGATTCATGTTCATAAGTGGAAAGTTTTAAAATGATATCCTTAGGGTCACTTCTGCCATGTAATCCTAAACCTTGAACTTTCAGCTGTCTACCTTGTAAAAGACCGCCATTGTGAAGCTCTGGGCAGAGCTTTAGACAGAGTGAGGTCAGCACAAGCCACACCCCAGTGTTGCCATTCTGAGACATTCAGACAATCACCACCTTTAGACTCGGAAGCGTGAGATCCTTTATCTTAACAAGTAGTAGCTGTGGCCTGAATCCTTCGGTGGGAAAGTCCTTAATTCCTCCTTGGTCTCCAAGCTCTAATTAAAGTGACACATTTAGGGCTGGAGAAATAGCTCAGGGCAGGGTGTTCAAGGCCCCAGGTTCAATTCCCAGAACCACAAAAGTGGTGCGCTTGCCAAACAGTTGAAAGACAGCGCATTTATTTTGACCCATTTCTTTGTCCAGGATGATCTTTACTAACGCGGTATCATACCAAGCGATCCAAGAGACTTTAGTCAAAACATGACTGTAGAAAGCGTCTCCTTTCTGAGAAAGAATGCGGCAGCTTCTGAAGCCACTTCAAATATTTGGGTTATGGTTTGATGAAACTGAAATGTCTCAGATTACTGCTTCGTACATTCTTCTCTGGGCACTAACACAGGTCAAGCTTTTGCAACACGTAATGAACACTTGGTAAGCTGAATACTGAGTGCATTAAATATAGCTATGTCATAAGTGTGTTTTAATGTTTCTGGTATAGACATATATACTGCTACTCACATAAAATTCTTAGGTGGTAGAGTTGAACTTCATGAGTTCTTAGAGGTTTTTGGTTATGCCAAGGGCAGTATTTAGCCTTGTCCACCCGGGGACTATCATCCTGGCAGCTAACTTGTCCTACAACTGATCAATGACAACATGCAACCTTATCCACCCTCAAAGGCCAGAATGTCCCATCAGAGATATGCAGAGGCAATTCATATCTGTCTCCCAGAATAAAACTCTCACTTCAGACATCCACAGCCTCCAATGCAAAAGTTTTACCCGTTCTAGCATATTAGGCGTGGTGCCACGTGCTTGTCCCAGCACTGAAGAGGCAGAGGCAGGAGGATTGCAGCACCTTCCAAGCCAGCCTGGTCTACAGTGAGTTCTAGGATAGCCATATCTACTCTATAAACTCTCACAGGTCAGTGTTTACGAATATAAAATGACATTACTGGGCAATGAGATGTAGTCTGGTTAAAGAGAGCCAAGCCCCCAGTCCCTCTGTAAAAATCAACATGTCTCACTGGACATCTAGTCATGCACCTTATGTCCTTCCTGTACCCCCAACAAGCCACAAATACATCATTACAAGCTGAAATCTAAGTGACTAAACCATTCGGTCCTGAGAGTGAAAACAGAAAAATCAGAAAGCACTAAACTAGGATCCACCCAGCCATTTTGTGACAATTCAGAATGTGTTTTTCACTCCGGAGCCCACACTGCCCATTTTCTCTGCTCTGCAAGCTATTTCCCTCTTGCAGTCTATCAGAAACAGCTTGTGTGGCTGTCTAGTGAAAAGGGGGCTCACGAGCAGGCACTGCAGCAGGAGCTGTTGAGCACTCCCCTGCTCCACAGTGAGGTAAGCAAAAACCAAGAACCTGCTTTATTATATAATCCTCCCTTCTCTTTAGTTCCCTTTTCTTCGGCCACTGCTATTTCTTCAGGATGTAACAAATTAAACATAAAAAGAAAGGAAACTGTCTTGTTAGGGTGAGGAGGTACTTGCCCCCCCCCATTAAAACAATGGAATTGTTAGCAGGGGTGTGGTGTAGAGCAATCTCAACCATCCAGGAAGTGGAGAGGTGAGGATCTCAGGAGTTCAAGGTCATCACCAGCTACACCGCAAGTTCAAGACCATCCTGGTCCATGAGAGATTCTTGTCTCAAAATCCGAAACAACAGTTTTAATTATTGTAAAACTGTAATTTATATAGTCCTAGCACTGTCATAGAATTTTAAAACTGAAAGTCTTTGTAGACCATCCTTGAATATTACAGAAAAGAAAGAAAGAAAAAGAAAACCAAAAGAAAAACTAAAGCTTAAGCTTTAAAAAAGTTAAGCAGTTATATCAGGACATATTTGAGGCTTCTGATGCACTAATTATTATTATAATTATAATAATTATTATTATTATTGTATTTGCACACAAGTGAGAGTTTCCCAAGGTTCAAAGAAAGCTCTAAGCACAAAAATGAAGGACTGCTGTCTGTACCATAGTGTATCTGTATCATTTCAAACTGACCTTTGTCATACAAATCATAACACTGATTATTTGCTGTGTCTGTCCCTGTGTGTGTGTCAGTCAGGACAGGTCTGGGAAGAAGACAAGACTGTCAATAGGAAAACGTGGAAGAAAAACTAGGGGGGGGGACAATGTAACCAAAAGAAATAGCTGCTGGAATGAAGAGCTAATGCGAAGACAAGGCTGAAACCATAATGGAGCGGTGGAACTCTTTCCAGAAGGGTTCTCAGGCAGGGAAAAGAAACAGCAGCCGCCGAGAGCAGTGTAAAAGTGCAGGAATGCATGTTACATAAGCCAGCGACAGCAGAGATCACAATTCTTACAGCACAGGGTAGTGGATGCAAGAGGGGTAATCCTCAAGCAGATTTTGTCAAAACTGGTCCACTGCTACTGCGTAGAAGTGTTAAAAATGCTTTCTTTTGGAGTTCTTAACCGGAATTAGCCCAGCTTGGTCCTCTTGGCCAAAGGAAATACCCCAGGCAGAACATATTGAGGCTAATTCTGTTCCCGACCCAGGCAGTCAGACAAGGTGGTTGCCACACAGTCCTGCCCGGAGCACCAGAACATTATGTAATCGCTCCGCAGCTCGGAGATGAGATCAGCTCTCTCACAACCATCTCTCATTAAGCAGGCTCTTCCTTTTTCCTTCCTACTTTCATTGCAGAGATATTGTCCCCCACTGGCAAAAGGCTTCCAGCTTATAGATGGGAAAAGAATTAGTTAATTTTTGTATTAACCAGTTTGGCTGTGACTTCTGTGCAGCTATAAAGGAACACAAGCCCTTACTGCTCAATCCCAGTATTTTTCTTTGGATGGAGAGATCAGAGAACTAAAAACTTAGGAGCAAAGCGTAGAGCTATAAATAGTTACTTTGAAATAAAAATTCAATTATGGTGAGCATATGAGAAAGGCTAAGGGTATGAAAAATAAGACCACTACTTCATAAATGACAAGACCTGCCGACAGTCGAATTCAAAGCTGCACGCACGGCAAAGTGAATTCTGATGTTCCACTAGAGTTTCAAACCTTTACAACAGTGGAATAAAGGGCAGAGAAATGACATCATTGATATTTTCTTAAGAGTGGGAGGAGTTCTCCCTTTAGAATTTAAAGATCACATACCTCTCTAATATCATTGAGAATGTATATTTGAAGCTGGACACGGTTGTGCACACCTGTAATCCCAGTACTTGAGAGGAAGATGAAGGAAGATCTGAGTTCAAGGCTAGATGAGACTCAGTCTCCATAAAAACAAACAAACAAAAACTGATATGAGCTTGTTGTGACTGGGTACTTGACTATAGGTCTATTTTAGATAAAATGTGCCTCTGATAGAGATATGATAATTTGCTACAGCAATTTTCACCTGTGAATGCTAAACATTTTTCAAGACTAAGATTGTTTGCACTGGGTTCAGGAAAACAATACTAAAACCAGAACCTTTAATCCTTTTAGGGGATCAGCCCAGTCTTCCTATCTCAAGGGAAGACAGTCATTTAAAAATCAACCTGATGTTTGCTTTTTAGCTGGAACACTTCCAGAAAACAAGTACAAGCAGACCAGATTGCCAATTATACTCTCAAAAATTTTACAGGCATTAGTGAGCTGTTTCTTAACAATAATTTCATTATATCATTAAAAACAACAACAGCAAAAAACAACAGCCACAACACCCCTTACTACTTGTACCAAGGACACAAATGATTGTTTCTACCTCAATGCTAAAATGACCTAAAAGTGATAACAGGTATTGAAAAATATTAATGAAACACTAAGCACCAGGAGTTCATATCTGTGTCACTGCAGCCTACAGATGGGGCAGAAGGAAAACTTGGGAAACAATTACATTTATATTTAAAAGATTGTTTTTTTTTTTTTAAAAAGTGGATCCAGCGCAGCGACGGCCTCTCTCGTGCTTCTTCGGTGTTAACGGAGGACGTGGTAAAATGAGGGTGACTTTCGTAGGGACAGGAGCAGAAACCTACGTTTAGGTTCCAGTGTCACTTAATCGGGAAGTCCCCCACAAAGAAGCTGGTAACGTTTAAAAGTCAGCTCTTGGTCACAAGGGAACAGCCACAAGAGCAATTACTTTCACCTGGAATATTTGCTGCACCTCATAAAAAATCACCAGCCAGAAACTACTCCCGGTGTACTGCGGTCCTGCCCTCTTCCCCAGACCCCAGGGTGTTCACCTGCCAACCCCGGGGGGCCATGTGCGGGCGAGGGAGTTTGTAAGAGAAAAGAGGGGGGTTTTAAAATTAAGATGCTTACAGTGGCCGGACTTAGTCCGAGCGCTGTTCAGCCTGGAAACGAAAGTAGGAAACAACAGAGGTTTTTAGGCTTGTTATGATGTCAGCCATTTTAGGCACAGTATTTACACTGGGAGAAAAGTGCCGGACCCGGCGGCGGCGGCGCCTGTCGCGGCGGGTCCCCACACGGCCAGAGCCGAGGGAAGGCGGCTGGAGCGCCGGCACCTGTGCCACCGTGCCCAAGGGGGTCGCCGCGACCAGGACCCCGCCCCGCCCGCCGCACACGCAGCGCCGCGGGGAGCCGTCCGGGCCCCCGTCCCCGCCGCGAGGACCCCGCCCGCGACCCCGGCCCGGACCTTGCAATCCACCGCCACGGCATCCGGGGGGATGATGAGCGCCTCCTCGCTGCTCTTGGGCTCGTCCTTCTTGGCCTCCTTCTGGGCCAGCGCCGAGTTGAACGTCACCTTCACCATGGTGCGGCCTGGGGCGCCCTGCGGGTGGCGGCGACGGAGGCTGGGGTCGCGGGGGGCTGGATCCCGGCGGCGGGTGCAGCCTCGTCGGCCGGGCTCGGGGCGCGACGCTGCGGCGGGGGAGCGGACGGCGCGACGGCGAGCGGCGGCTCAGTGCGGCGCGGTTCCCGGCCTCGCAGCTGGGGCGCGGGCGCGGGCGCGGGCGCGGGGAGGGGCCCGGAGGGGCGGGGCCTGCCCGGGGGCGGGGCCTGAGTGGGGCGGGGCTTGGCCCCACGCCACACCCTCCCTGGGCCCCCCAGAGCCAGCGGGAATCTGTCCAGGTTTTGAGGAGGGAGTGCCTGGTTGGGCTAGGACTTGCTGCCCCTCTGGGCTGCCTGGATTTTCCGGTTCTGGATTCGCTTCGCTGAGTTCACCTCCGGGGCCCAGTGTGGCAGGTTGATAAGGAAATGGGGTGAACGCTGCAGGTTGACCACACAGGATAAGTTAACCTCTGATAGCCTCAAATTCTATCTAATTGTGAGCCCAAAGGCCGTGGAATTTTTGTGTGAGAAAAAAAAAACCCAAAACTCCATTTACTCATTTATTAGCAAGCGACTCAGTAGAGCATAGGAATATTTGAAGCGCTGTGTCCTGGTGATCTGACTTATCTCCCACAGACCTCACCCTAAGGCGCTGCCTGATTGACCAGACTGGTCTTTTCTTCCTCCTTGGAGAGGTCAGTGCCTGCCCTGCCTAGTCCCAATTCAACAACAAGGAACCCTCTTTGCCCGTTTGTATTCCTAAAATGCCACTGGTAAAACAAAATGTACCAACCGAGCTCATTTGTGGGAAAAAAAAAAAAAAAAAAAAAAGCCATATGTGCACTAGGCCAATCTGTGATTTGTGACAATGTACTTGGGATAAGTCCTTATTTTTCTTCAAAATACAAAAATTCTCTCTCTTTTTTTAAAAAGAGGTTTCACTTATAACTGACATAACACACTGGCCCACACCCTTAGTGGGTTTATAGCTGTGTCCGAAGAGCATTTGGTCCAAAGGCCAGGTCCCTTGGTCAAATGACTGATCCTGTACCCTTCTCTATATTCTCCTTGTTCACCTAGAGTTACGTCTGTTGCCCATAAGGTTCCTGCTGGTGTCAGCTCTGGCCCAGGTCAACCTTGAAGAAAGCACTTGAGCCTGGGGTTCTTGAGCCCTTGTCTCTGTTCAAGGAGGGGACTATTCGAAAACCTCCATAGAATTCTGAATCACAAATCCCTCCCAGAGAAAGTGCTCTTGAGAATAAAGAGGCTGAGAAAGAAATCCAGCCTAGACCTTCAGTTTTCTTTGGGATTTTGAGATTCCAGTCAGAATTAAATAAGCCTGGGCAGCACTGTGCTCCAGTCCCAACCGTTTTCACAGTTCCGTCTGCATGACTTGCTGCAGTATATTTAAGTGCCTTCAACTGGAATCACTTGCCCATACAGCAATCCTGTGGTGTTCAATATGCCAAAGGGCTTTTGAGAAACGGAATGTAGCTGGGCACCATGTAGAACATCTTTAGTCCCAGCTCTTTGAAGGCAGGGGCAGGTAGATCACTGTGAGTTTAAGGCCAGTCTGGTCTACATAGGGGCTTCCAGGCCAGCCAGGGCTGCATAATGAGACCCTACCTCAGAACAAAACAACAACAGCAACAAAAATGAAAAATGGAATCTAGTACCAAAAAGTTGACTACTTCTTCATTTCATAGCTTTCCCAAGATATTATAATTGAAGACCAAAGAATTCTGGAAGCTAAACATATGAGACAAATTTTGTAAGTTACTTGAAATATTTTAACCTTTATTTGTTATTTTTAAATATTTATTTATTTTGTGCATATGAATTTTCTTTGCCTGCATGTGTCTGTGTGTAGCACATATGTACCTGTGCCTGAGGAAGTCAGAAAAATGAGTCAGATCCTCTGCAACTGGAGTTACAAATGGCTGTGAGCCATGTGGGTGCTGGGAACCAAACTTGGGTCTTCTTGAGGAATAACAAGTGCTTTTAACCTCTAGGCCATCTCTCCAGTCCCGTATCTTTATTTTTGATTCTAGCGTCAAACAGGACTCCTTCCATGAAAGAGGAGATGAGAGGTGGATGGTTTTATAAACAGAGAAATAAAAGATGAAGAAGGCAGATATGAGAAACAAAGAGCAGATTGTCATTTCAAAGTCACATGCAAAGCAGAAACAAGGAAGCAGAACAGAAACATGGCCAACTGATTAATATTAGGTCACACGGTATCAGGTAAACTACCGCTAATAATAGAGAGTATGCCCAAGCTGGTCAGTCCTGGAAGAGGCTAATTCCCTCTGGAAATGCGTTTTATTAGACACTCAGTAGTACAGTATATTAAAAACAGGTCCTTACAGGGAAGGAAACTTCCCCATAAAACCTGGAGGGCTACTTCCTCAATAATGAGAGTAAAAAATAGAGAGAAGGAAGAGCTGTCATGAGAGCGATGGTAGGAAGGGGCCAAAGGAGCCTTTTTTAGTGACCAGCCTGAGACATTTTTTGAGACATCCAGAGCCAATCCCAAGAACAAAAGAAATATCAGACTCTTCTAAGTTTTTTGGGGGTGAGGCTGGTGAGAAGTTTTGCATCGTATGATTTAGCTCAACATATTGGAAGAGCACGCAGGACTCAGATATTGGTTAGGACCACAATGGGGGCGGGGGATGGGTCCTGCTAGGTATGAGAGCTTCTGAACTCAAGGCTAGGCCTGATCTCTTTAGGCTGCGGGAGCGTGCCTCGTAAGAGTAACCTCTGTCTTTTAAAGGGTTAAAATAAGGGGGACGCACGCTCGGGGGGTGGGGGGTGTATCATTAACATGCTAGTTGGAACAAGCCTGTCTGAGAAGTTGAGACTGTTGTATTGTCCATCCTAATTTCTCAAGGTCAAGTAATTTTCACGGTGACAGTGAAATTCCCTGTAAATTGAGTTTGTTTGGATTTTCAGTACCTCTTGCAGGAGCTTACTCTAAAACAAGGTCTTCATACAGCTTTTTAAAAGACATGTTTGTGAATGGGAAGAGGGGCATCCAATGTGCTATGCATGGTGCATGAGCAGAGGTCAAAGGATAACTTGCAGGAATTAGTTCTCTCTCTCTACCATGTAGGATCTAGGACTGAACATCAGACTTGTCTTTGCTAAGATGGCTCTGTCCCCTGAGCCATCTCACTGCCCCTATAAAGTTTTATTAGAACCGTCTGTGCTGGTTCGTTTTGACTGTCCACTTGGCACAACCTTGAATCCCCTGAGAATTATCCAGATCAGGTTTCTCTGTAGGGGATTGTCTTACGTGTTGATAGATTTGAAAGGGCCCAACCTATTGTGGGTGGCACCATTCCCTAGGCAGGAATGAAGAAGACTAGCTGAGCAGAAACAAGCAGGTAGACTTGTTTCTCTCTGCTCTTGATTGGGAATGCCATGTGACCAGAAGCTTTGAGTTTCTGCTTGACATGATGGGTGGTAACCTGGAATTACAAGCCAAGGAAGCCCAGTCTTCCCCTAAGTTGCTTTTAGTTAGAGTATGGATCACAACAACAGAGATGAAGCTAGAATGCATTCATAGTTCTATGTTAGGATGAAATGATAGAAAAGTACCCAAAGCATTTGAAAGCAGATAGGATAACAGAAGAAAGTTCTTTCTGAAGAATACCATTTATTACAACTCTTCGGAAAGTGAGGCAAAGAAAGAGCCAGTGAGGTTGACAGAACCAGAAATCTTCCCCTGCCCCAGGACTTTTATTTTTAAGGACCTGTGAATAAAAGGCCATTATTTTGTGTGGTAGCAGTGAGCAACAGAGAAAAAAAAAATCAGTTGGCTGACAGTCTGGGAACAATCTCTGGGTTTTGCTTCTCTGGTTTGATCTGGTGTGTCTACAGAGCTGTGTAGTGCATAACAACACAGATAATAAAGAAGCTGGCTTGAGACCAAACATAGCAAACCCAGTCCCATGATTTAGAAAGTTGGCTTGTTGACCCTGTAAACTAAGGGGTGGAGGGGGAGGAGAGTGGATGACTCAACAGAAAGCTAAAAACATAGACCTAAGTTGCCATTAACTACCGCATGTAAAGGCGAAAGTCTCCGTCTCTTTGTTTCCCTTTTTCATGTGAGTCGGCTTTTAAAGTGATACTCCAGTTACATTTCATCATGATCCAAGCTTGTTTTTTCTGGTTAACCGGGAAGGAGGCTAATGTGGGGAACTAAATCTTAGAATCATAATTCACTTAGATTTGTACGATACGCTTGGACTGTTTTGTTGTTGTTGCTTTTAGGCATTCTTTCCATGGCCTTGCCCTCTGTTCTTTCTCAAGACAGCAAGTCCCTCTTCTGAGAAACTTTGAAGTTGAGCAGAACGATTAGAAAGCATCTTTTGCAAACATTGGGCCCTTAGTGCGGCAACATCACTGAATATGCCCTTTGAAAAGTGTTCTTGGCACCTGCCCTCAGGCCCCAAGTGTGGCTTTAACTGGGCAGCTTGTGGCTTTGTCTCAGCTTTCAAAGGGAAGTGGCTTTTCTAGCTTATAAGAACTCTTCACCTTGTCTCTACAGAGACTTCAACATTGCTTTTGTCTCTGTTACATTGAGTGTCCTTTATTGTTTATACCTTTCTTACCTCTGAAGTTCTATTATCTACTTCTTGTATGCTTTTTACAATTTATTTGATAGCAGTTCTTTTGTTATTGTTTGGTTGTTTTGATTACTGTTGTTTAATCTTTTGGAACAGGGCCTCACTTTGTATTTTTGGCTATCCTGAAGCTCACAGGGTAGCCCAGGCTGAACTCAAACCAACCAAAGTTCCCTTGCTGCAGCTTCCAAGTACTGGGATTACAGGCATGGGCCTCATGCCTAATACTATAACTTGTTTATTTGTTTTTGTTTTCCTGAGACAGGGTCTGTCTATGTATCCCTGGCTGTCCTGGAGCTCTCTTTGTAGACCAGCCTGGCCTCAAAATTACAGAGGTCCACCTGTTTCTGCCTCCTGAGTGTTGGGATTAAAGACATGTGCCATCATGCCTGGCATATATCTTGAGTTTTCTTTTTGTGACCATCCTACTATGTCACCCAGACTAGCCTTGAACACCCTCCTGCCTTTATCTCCATGCTGGCATCAAGCCCAGTCTGTAGCAGTTATTTAAACTTAAAAATAGTTTATTGTAGGGGAAGAAG